TGGTGGCGCTAAACTCCAGCATAGAAATTCCAACGTAGTTCGGCAAGGGTGGAAACTGGACTTTTAAAGTTAGTTAACTCCCTTGCCTCGGAAAGATACAGAGGGAGGAAAGAGTTTAGCTGCTTACATTATGATTACTTGTCACCTTGCAAAATGTTATTTTGCGTTGCTAGAGGCTGAGGGCTGTAACGTTAATGCCGTTATTCAATATTACCATTGATTTCATTGGTGTTAGCAGTGGGAAAATAAATCGTTGTGAACTCGAGGAAAATAAATCATTGTGAACTGGATAGTTACATGCTTATATTGTGTAAACCATACTTTCATATCCAAAATGATACCAACATTTATAAGGCATGGACATATTTGCAAATTCTGTCATTTACAAATGTGTCCACTTGTAAACTTAAATTGTTTTCTTTGTTTGCTGTTTAACGCCACACTCAGCAACATGACAGCTATATGACGGCGGTCTGTACATAATCGAGCCTTAATCGAACCAAGTCAGTGGGTCTGACCGCCCAATTCCGTTAGTCGCCCATTACGACAAGCACAGTCGCCTTTTACTTGTCGTAAGAGGCGACTAACGAAATTTTTTGTCAGATGGTCCAGACCCTAGTTCATTGAAAGGGAAATCATTTGAAATATGTCATGTTTGAGCATTTATTCGCTCGTTAGGTACGTTTTGAAAAGACTCGTTGTAAGATAAATGGTATCTGACAGGCACGAGTACAGTAATCTGTTTCTTACACACCCTAAAATCGCACCTTTTTAGCATCGAATCGATGCATTTTGTCTATTCTCATGATCGCAGTGGCCCATTCATTCATAACACCACGGTCATAAATGACGTCATCCGACGTACTGCTTACTACTCATGGATATTGTGACCCTACACCTAAACTTTAAAAGGTTTCCGCCATCTGTGGATTATCAAGGCGACGATGATAATGCAAACTAGATATATAAGATCAATGAACCCCAATGATGCCGAGTAAAAAAAGTTCAACAATGTTTTATGACATTGCCGGTGACCGACTTTTACAAAATGGCGTGTTCACTGACAACAGTACGCGGGATTTTCAGAGGAGGATTTGCCGCCAAAATTTGAAAGCGTCCACTTTTGTGTCTTAAGGAACATTAATGACATTTATGGACATGATAAATTCAACCGAATAATTAAACAAAAGAATCATATATTTGTAAATGTTGAAACTATGCTTATAAGCCATTGTTCACAATATAGCCAACAGTATGTAAAATCGATACAGATATACAATCCTTAAACTCATAAAGCTATCAATATAAAAACATTGATGAAAACCCTATTATATTTACATGTAAAGATAAAAAGGCATATTCTTCCCTTCTAGGTCTTTACGAACGGACTTTAAACAGTTCTCTTCATCTCTAAATGCTCAACTCTTATAAGTGGTTATTTGAATATGTTATGTTAAAGAAATATATAAGGCCAATGCGAGAGTATGACCACTCGATTTTCCTATGAAACATTAGACTTAAAAGGCAAAACGAGGTGAAAATTATATGAAGATATTTAAATATTTATATAATACATACATCTTCTACTTGTTATACTCTAATATGAAGTTAATATTTCTACAGTATATGAAATGTAAGAAAATTAAAAGTTATTATATCAGGGTAACATCATTCCATCCAGTTAAATGATGTCATTATAGACAAATAATAAAAAGATTATTTATTATGATAGTAGAACACTCAGTCGTCTGATTGTTTTACTACCACTGGTCTGTTAAAATAGCTCTCACTTGCCAACTGTCATATTGTCATACCATTAGTATCAATATTGTATTATGATATTGCCTCATATAAATATACTACTCAACATTTTCTAAGGACCGAAATAGCCATATATAGTCAAGATGTGGCCCTTGGCAAATATTGAGTGGTAAACACACAATTACTGAATTGTACCCTGTACCACTGTGAGTGGTTTGGGTGAAATAAAGAACATGAACTTGAACTTGAACTCCAAACGACCTCCACAAAGAGGGATACAAAATGATTCTGAATCAAACAATAATAATTCTTAAAACAACAAAATCATATTGATACTCAAAGTTACCAGTTGAAATAAATAACCTTCATTAGCGTTTTTGAATCATTTGCCAGGTTAATCGTGACTTTTTAATGGACAATATTTTGTTTTCTTTGAACCTACTCGTGTGGCATAGGAGAACAGAAGAAACAAAATTATCTGGGGAAAGTAGAATTAAATCGAAACTGCACAAGGGACCCTACTTTTCTAAGGAAGTGTAACTACATATAATATTGTAACAATACAAAATCAGGACGGAAATAAGAATAACAAACATGAAAGTGTGCTGTCTACGTTTACCAGAACAATATCCTAGGATATTGTCAAAAAGAACAGAGTTGCGGTTGAATAGAGATGGTAGACAACACATGGTCAAAAGAAGTGTATTTATGTTTTGTAAATCATGTGACTCCCTTAAGCTAATATAACCATCATAATAAATATTCATTTCTCAGTCAGCCTTTTTGGTCATACGATCTGAGATGTTGCATTTGCAGGGACTAGACTTGCCTTTGCATGTGTTTGTGATGGGTGCCACCGGTTGGGAAGCATAAGCTCACCTTTTCGCGAAAACCTGGTATCATCACTATCTGCTTGAATCATAAACACATGCTCATGATACAGTCGGGGTCATATGATTATGAAGATTTTTGTATCGCTGTTAATGTGTTTAATGTATCTCGACGGCGATGGTCGTTGCTACTGTTTTGGGTGGGTAGACAATATATTAACATACAGTCAAACTCCCTAATCTCGAAACAAGCAGGACCCTGTTGCAACTTCGAGATACCTGGGCATTCCAGATAACGAGACATGAACATCCAGGAAGATCAAGTAGCAGTATTATAGATACATACACTACGATTGTATACACAAGGAATTAAGAATGCAGCACGTTTATGTGAACGTTTTATTATATGACCTGTTAATATATTAACGTATATGATCTAAGGCGAGATTTTCTTTATGTGATATTAACAATATCAAAATAAATTTGTCCTGTTCTTATTGGGAATTTTCCCAAGACCATTTTCCAGCTCCAACTCAGAAATGGGCCATTGTTTCAGTGACAAAAGACCATTTAGCACTATTCCAGCAATATAACGACGGGGGACACCAGAAAAGGGCTCCATACATGCACTAATGTGGAAATCCAACCCGGACATTCGACATGACGTACAAACGCTTGAAAGCCTGTTTTGTAGTAATTGTGTGGAGGACATTTCCAAATTTGACGTATCAGTGAAACAAATGGTTCCTATGTAATTCTCTATATTGACTTGCACCACATGTTTACGTGTTGTTTCAGGATGAACTATTGACCTGCCTTTGCATCTGTTTGTGATGGGCACCCGTGAATAGTGAGTCATGATATAGTCGGAATCGTAGAATCATCTCTGCTATCAGCAGAATATTCATGTGAATATGGAGAGGGTTTTGTAATTTGTACCAACCACTACCCGACCCAAAAATTACGATGTTGTCACAAGAACATAGGTTCTAATGATGCTTTGTGAAATCTTCGTAGTAAGAGCTTTCTCGATTGTACCTCAAAAGTTGAGAAATATAGAGACCAAAGACTGGAGCTGCTAAAATATTGCTCAACATAAAGGCAACGTTGACTATAGGGAAGTTGAAGTTATCCCTCTTGTCATACAGTCTTGTGGAGAAGTTTTTGTGTCATTATTCGTCTTATATGTTGTCATTCCATCCATATAGTATTGCTGTACACAAACAGTCGAATACAATGATTCTCTGTACATCATATAAGGTCGACTGCAGTTAAGGTTGGAGGGATTTTCAGAACTGAAATATTGGTAGATACATTTGGAAACATTTCTGTTGATCCCTTTCTCTTGTGATCTCTAGATGACGTTTGCAGTTCGACATGACAGGCCTTCTAAACGTTTTATGCAGTATGTTTAGCTGTACAGTTAGACTTGAATTCAGGATCAGTTATCAAAATAGGACAAGTGTTGCATTTCCACAGATACTTCTGAGAAGTTGACTTTGTAAATATCTTGTATGTATGTCTCCTTGTGATGTATTAGTCCTTATGAGAACCTTTCTATGTAAACGAAGCTGCTATGTCGCTGCGCAGGATCTCGCATCAAGCTACACGGACGGAGATCTACCAGAACACGGAATACGTTTATTACATCGGTATGGCCACATGTTAACAACAGGATAGATTGCCTCATACACTTTGAGCAGACATCGTTGAAGATATATTGACAGTGAATGTAAAATACGTCACCACAATTCCACTTGCAAGAGGTTTGCTAAAAAGGTTGGTGAAAGATCGTTAGGACGAGCTTTGTCTGAGTGGTCGCTAGCCTTCTGTGACCAGTTAACACAATCCTTGAGATACATATGGCATACCGAATCCCTACAACACGTACGCTTTTATACCCATTTTTACATCATCGATTGCATTATTGCTGCATGCAAGACTTTTTGCCATTAGATCATTTTTTTTCTGCTGAGGTTGCGTTTGTGTAACATGTTTTCATATTTTCGTATCCAATTTGCACACCAGAAAGGTTTTTCATGTATGCAACCGATTGGAAAGGCGTGTCACAGGAACTATTGTTCCTGAGTATACATGTAAGGTCTATTCATGTTGTTGAAGGTTGACCACCATTGTGCTCAAGCCCTAAATATGATATTTGAATTATCATTTAGAACGCAAAAATAATGATGAAGAAATAGTTGATTTCGGAAGGGTTCTTTGATATGTCCATCAGAATGTTATTTCAATTATTTATCCTCAGGTATTATTTTAATTAATGAACACACAGATGAAATCAACATCGATATCGTTCTAATAAGAATATCAATTTACGAAACCCTCACACAGCTGTGAGCGTGTAAACTGCGCCTTGCATGGCCTGCCTCAGCTTCACTTTAGCATAGTCAAATGGGATTTGCCATTAACAACGGTTTAACATGCCCCCGAAGACTGGAAACCGTTGTTTTTCCCTTCTGGTTCCCTCTGTACTGGTGTCTGTTTGTTTTATCATATTTTCCGGTAAGTGTCATACTTTTTGATAATACATGGAGATTTACAACATGACGCTACGTTGTATTTCAAAACGATTTCATACTGAGTATCATGATAATGTTATAACGTCTTATTTGAAGCTTCCGAGCAAGCGTATAGAAACCGAAGCTAGTAATACGAATATTTCACATCCAATGTGTGTTGTGGTGTCATCGGGGATTTTCAGCGATCCATTCATATAATTTTCACCACTATTTATATATATTTATACGCCTGATGGAATCTGTTTCAAGACTGATTATCCTCTGGCGTTGACGGTTTACATTTATATATGCATGGCATCATTGTCTTCTTTACTGTCAACCATTCAAGTTAAGCTATATCTGTTCGTCAGAATTAAAGCTTGGCTATTCCTTCATTCCTTGCAAGCGTGTGCAAACCAAAATCGTTATTCAATGTTGATTACAGAAATCCACACTCGAGTATATACCTTGTCAGGCAATATATATTTAAAGGTAGATAAGATAGGCTAATATCTAGATCTCTGTGTGATGCCAAGCAGAATAGCGAAATTAACGAGTGGCATCCGTTGCTATTATTTACGCCTTGTGGCTTATGGTAGGTTTAATGTTTGTAATTCCTACACACAAGAGCAAAACAGCCAAACGTTTATTTAACATATAACGTTGAGCTGCGTCGATCGGTAGACAAGTTATCGGGCCAAATAAAAAACAACAAAACCCAGTCAGACTGTATTTCATAGTTCAATGTCATTTGGCATTCCGTTGCATATAGTATATATATTAATTATTGGCATCTTATATATTAATTCGGTTGATTTACCTTTCACGGATGAAGTGATAAAATATTCCCAGTGATGTAGAGCACTGTCTCTGGATTTTATTGTTAATCACACAACATGTCATCATTCTCCTTTATAGAGATGTGGTATTCAAAAGTAGATTCAAGAACTCGATTACATACAGTGGAAGTATTGTTGAAACAGAAGGAAGAAACTCTTCTGGCCTCTTACAGAAGTTACAGAGAACAATTGAGAGATAAGGACAATGAAATAAAAGAAATTTCAAACAGATATAAACTTGCAGAGGCGAGAATACTAAACCTTTCTCTGAATCTTGAAACTCGGATAAATAGTTCGAAGGATCTTCCAGTGATATATGCCATTACACCAACACACGCACGCAGTCAACAGAAGGCCGAACTTACAAGGCTATCTCAGACGTTTCTTCACATGTCCAGTTTTCACTGGATTGTGGTGGAAGATTCCAGGAAGAAATCTCGGTTAGTCGCCAACTTGTTAAGAAACTGTGGTATGTCATACACACATTTGTGTGTTTTGACACCTTCAGACTCCCAGTTAAATATTGGTGGTCTCGTGAGAAAATCAGCAAAAGGAGTGGAACAAAGAAACCTCGGGATATCTTGGCTCCGGAAAAATGTGGACCTGGCAACTCAGCCTGGTGTTGTATATTTTGCTGATGATGATAACACGTACGACTTGCGAATTTTTGCCGAGGTAAAATCTTACATGACAAATGCCAGGAAAGTGGGGATACATATGGTTATAATTTGCGAATTCCCGTTTCAGTGAAAAGAGAACAGTTGTTCTGTAGTTGATTAATTTAAGAGTAAGAACGATTTTAGTGTTTACATAAAATATATGACTATTGTTGAAGCCCTTTTGATTGCCCCCCTTATCTGCCATACACGTGGCAAAATGGTCAACATTTAAGACCTCCATCACTTAGGACTTTCCTCCCACATCAAGCAAATACGCCGTGATATGGGTGAAAAACTGTTCAAACTCCCTCGCTATCCATTAGACAATTCACTGCTTCCAATCCACTGGCTTCCAATCATCCAAATCAGCTTCCGTGGTTGTTTACCCTGTCCCATTAGTCATCCACTGGCTTCAAATTATCTTAATCAGCTCTCTGTGTCCATCAATATATTTACTGTATAAACATTGATGTTAATAAGTATATATACCTATGTTGTTTAGCACGCATCAGTCGGAAAGCGCACGTTAAATCTCCAAAGTAAGTAAGTAAGTAAGCACTATCAATCACTTGCTTGATAAAGGTGTTAGGATCTACACCGAAACGTCGAACTAATTGTAATAAAGAAGTTGTTCATCCATAGAACTTGTCTTACTTCATCACACCAACTTCTAAATGCCACTTAAAAAAGTTAACCATTTTTTGTTTCACAAATTATGAACACTCGTGTGTTTCCCGTAGATGCGACGGACTCGGAAGATTTCTGTATGGCCCGTTGGACTTGTTGGAGATCAAAGATATGAAGCGCCTATTGTGAAGAATGGAAAGGTAGAATAACATTGATTGTATATTCAGACACAAATTAGGGGAAATATCATTTTATATTCTTGGGGTTTTGAATTTGCCATAGATGTTTAAAACAAGGTAAATACTAGTTGTTCCTGTACTGTACTGTACAGTACAAATAACATTGCCTTTCCTGGTATTTGGGGCATCGTTGAATTTGGGGTAGCCAATTTTATATTCTTTGGGTTTGGGATAGAGAAGATTTAGTGAAAAAAGATCATTTGTTCCAGTAAACACATTGAAGAAATATTTTTTTACAATGAAAATATTAACAACGTTTTATTGCTCCTGTTACAGTAAAAATACCATTGCCATTCCTGGTATTTGAGCTACCTTTTATAAGCGAATCATCGTTACGGAGTAAAGTACTTTGCAAGAACGGTCTTTTGAAAAGTGTTTGAAAATCTTGGGTCTGCACTGTTCCGGACTAATGATGTTCCACTGTCTAGGGCCACGTCGTTGATTTCACTCTAAAGCATTTGCTCTCACTACAGGTGACTGGTTGGCGGGTGAGCTATGATCCAATTCGAAAGTTCGCTACAGACATGGCAGGTTTTGCTATGAACCTTCATCTTTTCTTTGAACATCCTGATCTTCAATTTTCCCATTACACACGGCCAGGATCTCAGGAATCCGATATCATCTCGAAGACCAATATAACCCTGAATGATCTTGAGCCTCTGGCTGATAACTGTACAAAGGTATGCATTGCCATGTTCTCACTCACTTTTCGAGACCGCCTCCGTGGTCTAGTTGAAGAGCGTCCTCCCGGAGAGCGTAAGGCCCCGGCCGCGTTATACCAAAGGACGTGAAATGATGGTACTTGTTATAACCCTGCATGATGCTCCGCATTAAGGGGTAATGGCATGGTATCTCAGTGGGCTAGCACTATAAAATCGGCATTAGTCCAGACAAGTACAAGCAGCCAGACACACACATGCATGCACGTTGCTATGTAAGTGCAATAATCTTGGACGCGACATTGAGCCCCATTTCACCTCACCTTTCCATTTTCAGGTTCTCAATCCCAGGTTATGTTCCTGGGTCTGTCAGCACTATACCGTGTTTAAGGGTGTCACCGAAGTGTCGTCTGTCCCCTTGTACCTGCTTCAATTCGTGCTTTCCGCCCATATTAACTGACACGCTGTGATATAACTGAATTACTGTACAAAGTCGCGTTAGCGTGAAATGCCTCAACTTTACCAATTGCCACTTTCGGAGAATATTTTACGAGCTGATTATTTTACATGATGTTTCACTTCCAATAATTTGTTCTGATACAATACTGCTCAAAGCGTCAATCACATTCACTCGTTCACTCTTTCTTTGACAGGTGCTTGTGTGGCACACTAGGGCGCTACCCCCCAAGCTTACAAAGGAAGATCAAATGAAGGTGAAATTCGACCATGGATCTAACTTCATTGTTGAAGTATAGTGAAGTCATATTATCCACGATATATATCATGTGGATAAAAGATATTTAATTTTGCTTTGATTTCGCCATTAGAACACAGGACACGTGCCTTTGTTAAGGGAGACAACGCTCCACGGTCTTGTGACCACTCCACTGATTGGACTGCCGAAGAGTGCCCCGATGAGTGAATTATCATGAGTAAAATGTGCGAAAGTAATTGAAGGAAGGACATGACACAATTCATACAGTTTGCATTTATATATATTTTTTCATCAAACACTGCAGAGGCTTTTAAATGGTCCCTTGCATATTTATATTAAAACTCATTTGACCAAGCATGGCTGGAGGACTGCCGTGTGGCGTAATGCAACGAACACTGACTCTTGATACAAATTGTATAGGTGGCGGGTGCTACCGGTAGTGCAGGAGATTCTTACTAATTCACTGATTTTCAGTGATCCATTCATATAATTTTCACCACTCTTTTGCCATTTACGCCCAATGGAATCCGTTTCGGTGGATAATTGAGCCCGTTATTCTCTGACGTTGACGTTTTACACTATGTTTGCACTGTAAATATGTCTGTATGTTTTAGACGTTTTACATTTGATGTAATTGTTCAAGGCTAGTATAATACTGCTAGTATAATAATGCGTGTGTGTTGTGCACAGACCCGTGCGTTTATTTGTAATTCATATATGTATTCTATAGTAATCCATTAACGTGTGTTGAGACCTCAACTTTCCAATAGTCATTTTCCCCTTTATGTCAAACAATAGTGACTTGTACCATGTGTTCCCGTGTATTATCGGGTGAACAAATGACTTGCCTTTGCATGTGTTTTTGACAGGTGAACCAGTTGTGCAGGATATGCTAATCTTTTTCCACACAGCCACCATTACTAGTTGATATTGATTCATTAACACGTGCTCATGATATTGTCGAAATCGAACAATCGACTCTGCTTTTAGCACATATTTCTTGTGACTATGGAAAGGGTTTTGTCACTTTTGTTTGTGTATGCATGGAGGCTGAGGGCTGTAACGTTAATGCCGTTATTTAATATTACCATTGATTCCATTGGTGTTTGCAGTGTTAAAATAAATCGTTGTGAACTCGAGGAAAATAATCATTGTGAAATCGATAGTCACTTGCTTATATTTTCTTATACGTAATTTCATATTCAAAATGGTACCAACATTTATAAGGCATGGACATATTTGCAAATTCTGTCATTTACAAATGTGTCCACTTGTAAACTTAAATTGTTTTCTTTGTTTGCTGTTTCACGCCACACTCAGCAACATGACAGCTATATGACGGCGGTCTGTACATAATCGAGCCTTAACCAGACGATCCAGTCATTGACATCATGAGCATTGTTCCACGCAATTGGGATACGATGACATGCATGAACCAAGTCAGTGAGTCTGACCGCCCAATTCCGTTAGTCGCCTCTTACGACAAGCATTGTCGCCTTTGTCAGATGGTCCAGACCCTAGTTCATTGAAAGGGAAATCATTTGAAATATGTCATGTTTGAGTATTTATTCGCTCGTTATATACGTTTTGAAAAGACTCGTTGTAAGATAAATGGTATATGACAGGCACGAGTACAGTAATCTGTTTCTTACACACCCTAAAATCGCACCTTTTTAGCATCGAATCGATGCATTTTGTCTATTCTCATGATCGCAGTGGCCCATTCATACATAACACCACGGTCATAAATGACGTCATCCGACGTACTGCTTACTACTCATAAATATTGTGACCCTCACTGCAAACACGAAAACGTCGTTTTTTTCCGTATATGGTCATTGGACGGAAAAACGACGTTATTTGGACGTTTTCAAACCATCGTTTTCCCGTCCAAATAACGTCGTTATTTGACATCGGAATTTACTGGGAGAGAACGATAGCGTTAAGCTCCTCCCTTTCTTGATTGACATTGTCAATCAAGCAACAGCGTCTACCGGTGTTTCTACTTCTCAGATTTCATTGGTCAGTCCCCGCGTGTTAGATTACAGGCCCGCGTTTGACGCTGCACTCGAAGCGCTTAGCGGAAGTACTGAAATCAATCGTTCTGCGCATGCGGATTACTTAATGCCTTGACCAAATTTTCCGTTCTGTGCATGCGCGATTTCGCGTATTGTTTCCTAGATTTAATGTCACCGCTATTTGACAATGTTTCATAAACACAGTCACGTGAAGGTTCGGAATCGTAACGAGTAACTCCATTTAAATTGAAGAGGATCCCCAGTGATATGGGAGATTCCAAGATGAAACTATTCTATGGCTATCTAGGCTGCCACCCAAACCGATCTAAACGGGACCCGATAGCTTATTGTATGCTATATAGTCATATGGAAGTGGACAAGAACTATACATTGTATTCCGGCCGATTGTTCTTGCATTTACTTATAAGTCAGGAAAATGGACTTAAAATGGGAGTTGTTGAATGTAATTATTTTAATTATTAAATGTTGCCTATACACTAATCTGGACGAACTTCTCATTGTTCTGTTTATGTCATCCTATATACTATTAGTATGTTACCGTTCTAAAGTCAACCTCTCACATATTGTTCATAGTATCAAAGTTTAATCAACAATATCAAGAGCAGCGATTTAAACCACTGAAACACCCAAACACAAGGCTGTTATCAAGCGCTAGTGCAGACGTGATGCATCGTAAAAACTGTATCGTGATGTCTTCAGAAATTCAATTATACTACGAGATAGTACGGCTAACGCTGACTCACCGGTGGAACAAAGACAATATCGCTAATACAGATATAACGTATTTGAATGTTAATACTAAAGACAAACAATCATTATTTTTGCAGTGACGATATAACACGTATACACGTTTATTGTTAACTTTCTTCAGTTTTGCTCTTCATTTTAATAACTTTGTTTTCACATATATATGTAGCAATACCCGACAAGCATGTCATACATAATTATGGGGCAGTTTTCAATCTTGTACTGACTTACTCTGGTGTTAATGAGCGAAGTTTATTGGCTTGTGTGTGAAACCCCGTTTTTCTGCTAATCCTATTATTACTTAGTTTATTTCTATCTAATGACACCCTGTTCTCTGGATCATGGCTCCGTGACTATCCATAACAGTTAAGATGAACATTCAGTTCAAGTAAATGAATGAGTTTGTTTTGACGCTACAGTCAGTCAAAAAACCAATGATGTGAGGTTTGATAACACACTTCTACCAGGTCGAACATCGTGGATCCTCATTTTCTGCCTAAAGAGAATCATAGTTCATATGCTAATCCATCTGCGAATCCCACTCAAGATCACCTTACATGTTGCCTTTGCATCCAAGATGGCGGACAAGTGAAATCGTATGAAATTTGGCTATTTTAGGTCCTATCTCTTTTTTGATTACCCAATAAAGTCAATTCATAGTTACACGGTTGTGAAGAAGCTTACAACTTTATAAGACTTATTCATCTCATTCCAAAAAAGCTACTCGCACTCACATAAAGTTGTAGTTATTATGTCACTGTTTTATTTCTTTAAAAATATATTACATGTTCAACAATAACAATTAAGATGAACATTCAATTTCCGATATAAGTAAATGAATAAGTGTGTTTTACGCCACAATCAGTCAAAGACCAACGTTGTCCGGTCTGATGACACACAATCTACCAGGTAGCACATTGTGTACACCCTATCCCCATTGAAGTCTCCACTGTGGGTATTCCTGGGGACGAAAAGGCCCCATGTACCTAGGAATTTCATCAATACATTCATGCGCGGCATTCTCTGCCTAAAGAAGATCATATAGTTAACATGCTAATCCAACTCCACGCACGCACGCGCACACACATATTTGGATTTACCAATCCCTGAATTGAGAAGACGTGCGTTACGAAGCTCCTCGAAGTCATCATCAATATCCGTATATGTCTGTGATATCATTACCCATCCAAAGCCGAATATACATTTATTGTGTTTTCTTGACAACAAATGTTATAATTGGGATAACACTTTCTGAGTAAAGTACAGATTCTCGTACTTTCTTGGGTTGAGTCCCGTCCGGGATTTGAACCTACACTGTGAGTGAGGCACCCAATCGCCAGAACACAAAGTTGGCGATCTAACCCAGCCACCGAACCAAAAATGTTAGTCCAGATGACGTATACTTTGTGTACTCCTCTGACAAGAGAAAAATGGCACGGCTTCTATGACCGAAAGCTTTGAACCAACAATGCCTTTAAGAAAGTGGTCAACAGTAACACACATTATATTTGGATACCACTTTCTCAGTAAACTACATATTTTTAGGGTGGAGATAATAGACGTTGATGGTTAATTATCAATGGACAAATTAAAGCCAAAACTTAACTTAATAATGATTGGTAATGGGAAATGGACAATGGGCAAACGGGAGGCGGGGTAATCAGCCCCATGCCAGTTATCTGTTGGCTTCCCTTGTTGCGTTCCCTTTTTTGCTATCTTTTTACTTTTGTTGTTCTTACAGGTACAAATATATGTTCTCTGCCTCATAGCATTTAATAATATGCACCTGATGAAGGAGAAAGTATATGTTCCGAAACGCAGTGTTCCTCCGTTGACATCCATAAATAGTTTTCCTTGTGTGTATCAGTTCTTAATGCCCTTCAAAGACTCAATCTAGCTTTGTTTTTAAATGTGGTGATATTTGCGTAGAATATAATATGGTCATGCCTATATACATTTGGGTCCTTGTCTACATAAGCATTTAGACATACAATTTAGAGCTAAGGACATTGCTAATTCTGCAGGCATGAAGTACACGTCATAGCAAGCTGTGATCTTTATTCATACTTTAGATATTCGTAATGAAGATCTGTAACTGAAGTTTACCGTAATCTTCCGCAACTCTCACCTCCTGACCAGTTGAACATTAGTGCATTTAGATGCCATTGTAACATTCCAGGCTGCCCCTCTTTCTGTGATGTTTTGACGGATGAAATCTATTGCGTTATAATAATCTCTGTTTGCTGATATATAATATGTACATGTAGTAAAATATTTACGATGTGTTAAACGTGTAATTCGATGCATATGCAATGCAATGTGAACATAAGTGCGGATGCACGAAGGCGGTTATAGTCATAGTTATACTGCGATGGATGTAGGGGAATGGTAGGGGGATGTATGTATGTATGAACGCACGAATACCGATACATGAGGGCGGATTTAGTTATAGTTCGATGGATGTTGGGGAATGGTGGGAGGATGGATTATGTATGAAAGCATGCGCATGGATCCATGATGGCTGACGTAGATATAATGGTGGGGAAAGAAGAATGTGATTGCGTGCATGCGTACATGCGTTGTGATACGAGGGTTGGCGAACATGTTGTCAGATGATTGTGTGAGTAAGTTAAGTGGTTGAGGGTGTGGCAGGTATGAGCATTGATACATACAAACTTGGGGTTGGGGGACTGGGTGTGCCTGTACTGAGGTCTTTTGTTTCACTCACTTATAGTGTTTTCTTTCACTCAAATACTGTTTTACGCATTTAAATGACCGAAACTGTACTGACTCAAAGGTCATACTGGCCGGGCATTCAACATATCTACCCCAACTACATACGTAGCCATTTTTATGGTGTACAATTCTTCTTCTACCTCACACACACACACACACACACACACACACACACACACACACACACACACACACACACACACACACACACACACACACACACACACACACACACACACACACACACGCATTAATTGTTTTATTAAATGTATCTTCGAGTGTCAGTAAGAAACTAGAAATAACTGCCTTTGTTCGGTAAACCTCACCAAGTTTCAGCTTTCGCCTCTTCCTTTGTGGACTGAGGTTTCACATTTGTAAAATGATCTCTCTTATCTGTCTGTACCATCAACTTAACTGCCCTCACCCCCTGCAGTTTTCCCGTCCCATATTGCCAAGCAGGTGACACACAAGGAGGAATACCGCCCTCCCTCAGTCCAGTGATACTGTGCCTAGCACAATATGTTGGGGATACGTAGCCTTGCTGTGGGCAAACATTTTGTA